TACTACTACTACTACTACTACTACTACTATACTACTACTTCTACTACTACTACTACTACTACTACTACTAATTACTTCTTGTATTTGATTTAGTTTTTTGGAAGTGTTTCCCTATTATTCTGCTGCATATTATACTACTTCTACTTCGATTTTGTTTCTAATCTTTGTACGATTATTTATCAGACTACTAACCATCCATGAATACGAGTACTCATTACTACGACTACTACTACTACTTACTACTACTACTACTACTACTACTACTACTACTACTGCTACTACTTACTACTACTACTTACTACTACTACTACTACTACTACTACTACTACTACTACTACTACTACTACTACTACTACTACTACTACTACTTCTCCTCCCCCTCCTACTTCTCCTCCTTCTTCTTTTATTTCTTTTTCTCCTGCTTCTCCTCCTCCTCCCTGGGCTGTAGCCTGTGTGCTTCACCCCCCCGGTAGCCTTCTTTCGAGGAGCTTTCGAGGGACACTTTGGCTTTATTTTGCATTGACATGACCCTGACCTGTCCTCTCCTCCTCCCTGCTTCTTCTCCTCTCCTCATCCTCCTCCCCCTCCTACCACTCTCCCCTCCCTCCTCCCCTCCTTACCTCCCTCCCTCCCTTCCCTCCTCCCTCCTCCCTCCTCCTCCTCCTCCTCCCTCCTCCTCCTCCTCCTCCTCCTCCTCCTCCTCCTCCTCCTCCTCCTCCTCCTCCTCCTCCTGTACGGCCCCACGAAGGCCACACGGGAGGCCCAAATGCTCGGTGGCCAGACGGCCATTTCGATGCCCTCTCGAGGCAGAGCACCTTGGGCTCCCGGCCCTCCGCAGCAGCGTTGGCATTCCCCTCCCGCTGCTGCAGCATGGCGGCCACCTTGCTTCGCCTCGGGCCCCGCGAAGCTCCAGGCGTGCCGAGAAGTTGTGGTGCCGGACGCTGCGCTCCCGCGTCGTCGCCGAGTCCTCCTTTGGAAACCACTTCCCGCACGTCCTGCATTGGAACGCGCAGAGTTCGGGGGGAGCTGCTGGTCCGCCCCCATGCCCAGCCGCTGCCGCAGCTCCTCCTGGGCGACGGGTACGAGGACCTGGCCCAGCGCCTGCTGCTGGCGGAGGTTGAAGCCCTCGGCGTTCAGGGACGGGTGCGCCCTCCTGATGTGCGCCCGCTTCAGTCCGGTAAGCCTCTGATGGTACGGGCCGTTTGCCCCCATGGAGGATGCCTCGTAGTCGCAGTCGGGGCACCGCCAAGTGCTGCGCAGACCCCTCTCGCCGTGCTGCACGCCCAGGCCGGCCACGGCGCCACCTCCACGGCTGCTGGACCTGGAGCACCTTCCTGCTGCAGCTGTGACTGCAGCCACGCCGGCGGCTCGATCGATCGGGTCGTCCGCCGGTGCGATGGAGGACTCGCCCCAGGTGGTGCGAGCGCTCTGGAGAGGCCTGGGGCTGAAGGAGACCGTGGGGGCACTTGGCATCGCTCGGACGTGTGCATTTTTCCGTCGGCGAGGGCCATCGAGGAGCATCCTTGATCATTTGGCGAAAAAACCACGCGCGAAACAAAAAACACAGGGAATGGACGTCCGAGCGATGGCGAGGACTCGCCCCGGGTGGTGCGAGCGCTCTCGAGAGGCCTTTGGCCGAAGGGGACCGTGGGGGCAGCGCTGACTTCGTCCTCGGCGATCGTCGGCAGCCGGGGCGCCGGTTTGCCTCGAAGCCTCACCCGGCCGTTGCCGCCGCTCCTGCGGCCGTTGCTGCTGCTGCTGCTGCTGCTCCTCCTCCCTCCTCCCTCCTCCCTCCTCCCTCCTCCCTCCTCCCTCCTCCCTCCTCCCCTCTCCTCCCTCCCCCTCCCTCCTCCCTTCCTCCCTTACCTCATCCTCCTCTCCTCTTCCTCCCTCCTCCTCCTCCTCCTCCTCCTCCTCCTCCTCCTCCTCCTCCTCCTCGCCGCACTGCGGGATCGCCCCCTGGGCGCCTCCGAGCGCTGCGTCGGAGGGGCGACCGATCCTTCCCTGGAGCTGGTGCTGCTCCCGTCGGCGTTGCCGAACCAGTCGCCGAAGCCGGCCGCGGCCGCGTCAGTTTTCCGAGACGCGTCCAGCCGTGGCTCAGTTGTCGGAGCCGCGTCCAGCCGTGGCGGCAAGCGGTCCCCGTCCCTGGAACCGCCCGCCTCGGCAGGTGAGCGGTAGAGATGGCCTCCGCCCCGGGCTCGCCCTCCTCCTCGAGGAGGAGGATCCTCCTCCTCCTGCTCCGCCCCGGGCTCGCCCTCCTCCTCGAGGAGGAGAATCCTCCTCCTCGCCCTCCCCCTGGCCGTGCGGTGGTCCTTCACCGCGCCACGGCCTGGGCCGGGAGGCCCGCACGCCGGTGAGGTGCCAGCGGGATGCGCTGGTCCCGGCGTTGTGGATATTGGTCGGCACAGTCGTCGATCGTTGTGCAGTCCCCGTATCCGTGGCGTTGTGGACGTTGGTCGGCGCCGTCTCCAGGACACGGTCGGTGCTGCTCCGGCTCGAAGTGCATCGGTGCATGCGCCCTCGGCGCTGGCGGTGAGCTGTCGCGTCCAGCCAGGGCTGGGCGGCGAGCGTCGCCTCCCTGCTGTTGCTGCAGCTCCTCGCCGACTCTTCCTCCTCCTCCTCCTCCTACTTCTCCTCCTCCTCCTCCTTTCCTTTTCCTTATAGATAACTTCTCTCTGTCGCACCCCGAGGCCAGTGTTAAGGGCGGGCCGTTTGTTTCGCCTGAGATCTCCTTACCATTTATGTTTCAGAAAATTCCAACAGTTTCGCAGATGAAGGCAACATGTGGCTGTCGCCTTAGCGCCGTGTTCATTTGTTTTAAGCATGTACAAAAGCTTCACGGATTGGGGATCACCCGTTTTCAAAATGTGGTTCTCGCCCTAGCGCCGCGAACATTCGTTCTAAACATTTGTAACAATTTCACGGATTGATGGCGGCTCTATTTCAACATGTGGTTCTCGCCTTAGCGCCGCGCACATTCGTTCTAAACATTTGCAAGAGTTTCACGAATTGAGGGCGGTTCTTTTTCAAAATGTGGCTCTCGCCTGAGCGCCGCGCGCATTCGTTTCAAAATTTGCAAGAGTTTCACGGATTCCCACGATCTCCCACGATCAACGTACCAGAAATTGTGTTCTGGACGG